GATCTAGTCCAAAGAGCCTGAAGAAATCCTCACATCATCACTAATTACATTTTTACTTTTTGGATATATTTTGCCATTCATTCATTTATAGTGATTTTACAGCATTAGTTCCTTAACAAAACTAAAATGCTTATCTTTAAAGTAGATGTTTTTATGCATTTGATTTTACCAGTAATAAATTTCATTTGCAGTGAAGTACTGTGCTTGAAACACAACAATCGTAGCTTATACAAATATGTTGTGTTGAACAGCATAGCATTTTGTTAATTTCTTGCTGAGTTAGTACAAATTTCTTACTCCTTGGGCACTTTTTTCTCCATGGTTTCATCTCAGTTTCACTATCCTTCTCCAAACTATTTGTCTATCTTAAGTCTCTTCCTATCCTGTTTTCTCAGTTTAGCTTTCACTCAATTCTTTATCAGTCTCTATCTCCTTTTCAAGTCATACCAGTTTCCAAACTTCCACATCTCAGTGTCAACCCACAATACGTTTGCCTTTGTGCTTGCACTAAATGCTATGAGTGAGTTGTTTTAGGAATAAATGTTTGAAGTAGAGAACCAAAAAATCATCAGGACACTTAACAAAGAGCCATTAAAATTATAGAAAGACATTAATCTATGGAGTATTTTTTGAGTCAGCCATTATCTCTTGCTTTCAAATATCAACATTCTCCATTTTGATTGGTGACCAGTCTAAACTTTTCCTATTTGCATTTGGAAACACAGACAATAGACTGGCTACCACTGTTCATCTATTATTGTTTAAATAGCTGTCACAGCTTCCATAGTGTCTATTTCCATGTTATCTCATGAAGAACAAAATAGAATGGCAACATACCAAGTGTGAAAATGTGAAAAATGTTACTTGTATTTGGCCCAAACCTGCTGTTGTTCACAGATAAAATCTAGTTTGATCAAAAACAGGTTACTTTTTGAAACTGAGGAGCAACTGGTTTAATGGATGTGGCATCTGCAAATATTTTGAAGATATGTGTTGATTTCAGACTTGCCTGTTATGGTGATTTAGTTCCAGTGTCACATGCAGATTCATCTCTGCTCTGATACTGCAGAGATTTCAATAATAGTTTGTCCAATCCTTGTTTTTCTGTTAATTTATAACATCTTGGTGGTCAGCACAAGCCAAGACAGGCCTGGCCACTTCTTTGTTCAACCTTGTTCTTTCTTTTCACCTCTTTTACTGTTCTGCTCCCAGCTCTGACAATGGAGTTGTAGATTGAACCTATTTCTCCTCTTGCCCCAACTTTTCTTTGAATGCTTCCTTTGATGTATTCAGACTAAAAATGCCAGATCTCTGTCTCCCAGCAAGGGCTTATCGCTTTTGCAGTGTTGCTCCTCTTGTAGGTTGAGGACCATTAGTAGTTCCTTTGCAACAGTTCAAAAGATGCTATGTTAATGATTATTTGGAAACAAAGATGGAACACTGTGTTGAGAAAAGAGAGCTTAGGCAGGAATGGAAGATTTTTAAATGCTTCAGTGGCAAGAGGTCATATTATTATTGCTACTAAGATATGTGGTTTTGTTTTAATTGGCCATGTTTACAATGTGCTTTTTCTTAAAAATGCATTTTTTCAAGATTCCCTCAATCATTGCTTATCTCACATCCACAAATATTCATGCTTCCTGTGTATAATATGTACATTTGCTCTGTTTCAAACATACTCACACTCAAAGTTTATTTCACATGGGACATCAGGAAAACAAAGCCACATTAGTCTGACATTTTTTTCTGAGTTTAAATTTCATTAAACTAAGTTCACTGTAAGTTCAACTCTCTAGTCTTCCCCTTCAGTGTAAATTTGTTTCTGTTATTTATTATAATAGAAGAGTTTGGATTTTGAGTTCATTCTATTATCCATAACTTTAATCTTTTGAAGTTATTTTGCCTATTGAAAAACGGTGCCATACATTGTTGAGAAAACCATTACAAACATGTTTTGAGCATGCCTAAAATACAGCAAAAAACATGTATTTATAATTAAAGTGAAGCAGAGACTTTAATCCTTTGCCCAAAATCTCAGGTAAGACCTATGTTAGGAGTTTTCTTTATCTCAACGATTACATTGAAAGAACAGTTTTTAAGCAAAGTAAGGTCTATGTATTTTTTTAGGTAGGTGAGTTTTATCTGATATGTTTTAAAACATTTTTTCAGCTCAAGGCCTAAAATTTTAGTAAGATTTTAAGTTATTTCAAGAAGGATGAGAGATTTTTGGCCTATCTCTGTGACAAACCTAGAGGCATACTTTCACATTTGTATAATTTAGTTCCATGATGCATACTAGTGATTAAACTCTTCCTTTCTATGCCATGCAAGTCAATACTTTCACGGGGACCACTAGTATATGGAGGACTTCAGTCAAAAACTCACATGAATACCAAACAGGAGGTTTGTAGCTTTTTTAACATTGTGTATGAAACATTTGTGAAAGCCATATTTACATCAATCAAAAATAATATCGTGCAGCCTTTATCAGTCTATAATAATTTTTGTTTAAGTTTGAATTGTTTGTTATGATTAATGAACACATAACAATACTGACAGCAGTTTGGAATTAAAAAAAAAAAAAAAAAAAAAAGAATTATTCTTCACACTAGAACATGATTTCAGAAGATGATGAACTAAAAGGAATACTTGAGAGCAGTAATGTAGTTTACAATATCCAGGATTACCTATTTGTTTATTTTTCCTAATGTGGTGAATATATCTATAATATTTTTAAAGTTGAAAAGAAAATAAAAAAATATTATTTAGGGTCAAGTTATTGTATGTTACAGCAAAATGATGACAGACAGCAGAATAGCGTGAGGAATAGATGATGCACACAGAGTACATTTTTCATTGTCTACTTTTAATCTTGTAAGATATAGGTTCAGTCATCTACAGCCAGTTTTTCTGAACAGTCTGTTGAGATCAGACTGGAAAATCTGATGAAATATACTTAACAAAATCTTTTTATGGGCTGAAGCTTTCCTTGGTAAACATTACTTTGTTTCACAAAGCTTAGCTTGGTAAACTTTTTACTTAAGACTTTATGAGAAAGTAAAAATTGTGCCACAGATTGTAAAACACAGAGAATATTAAATGGGCTTTTACTCCTTTTGTAGGCTACTCTCAGCCTAAGCCCCTGTGAACTGAGAAGAACAGTTTTCATGGTATGGTTGATCATTCCAAATGTAGATCTTTCTATCTGAACAAGTCATCTGAGGCTCCTCTTACAGTTAACAGGAACTTCTAGAGGAAGATTTTTCTCCTTCTGTATCCTTCTGATGGCTATAATAGTTTATATGGATTAGCACCTTAAAACGCTGTATTTCTCTTCACTAGCTATAGAAAGAGCCAGGTGGGACAAGCCGAGGAGCCTATTTTGGCATTTCTGTGCCAAAATAGATTGTGGATGCAGCTTTTATGCTAGCACCATTAAGTTCTGGCCAGCACAGTGGAGCCCACGAGGAGATGGAGAAATGAATAAGAAACTAAAAGTGCTTAACAGAGATTTCTTTTGTCTGGAATGTTGATGGAAATGAAATTCTGGGATGAATTCAGGGATTCTGAGTTATAGTGTGCTTTCCCTTGGCTGCTGAAACACTCTAACCCATTCTTGGAAAAGACTTCAATTTTTCTATCTCTAGACTATTGCCACTTTACAATATACAGCACCTCACTTCTTTTTATTTCTTTTTAGGAAAATAGCATCAGGACTTTTATATCATACGTTTCCCAATGTGTATGCTAGAATAAAAAGTGAACTACAACTATTCATTAAAACTGTAATAAAATACATTGCAGAAAAAAAAAAAAGTAATTAATACACTTCAAAAAATATGTATCATGTTGATCAAAGGTAAATGAAATAGACTAAGGCTGACAAACTCTCATGTAGTCAAACAGCTGTGCAGAGTTCTGTATGCATTCTGATGCCACGGAATTGTATTGAGATACATCAGTGTTTCAGTTAATGACTGAGCCATTACTAAGACAAATATGAATAGATATATATATCTAAATACATGTATAAATAGTTTTCCTTTTTGAAGAATTCAGATTAACATCTGGTGCAATGAGCTTGACCTAAATTTCTGTATCATATCAACGGTAGTCTAAAAACATTTCAAAAATTAAAAAAAAAAGAAAGAAAGAAAGAAAAAAGACGTATAACGAAGTTTTTTTTTTTTTTCTTTTTTTTTTTTTTTTTTTTTTTTTTTCTTCACTTACTTTATAATCCACTCACAGATTATCTATGAAACACTAATCTTAGAAGTCTGCAGACTCGGGGAGTCTTTTCCCGTTGTGATGTCACAACTGATCAGATCTGATTGTTATGATGATTCCACTAAGGAGTTGAGCACTAATTGTTAGAACATGTCTGTGTTTAAAAAAAATTAGGCCAATGATTGTAACCATGCTGTTAATATCATTTATTGTTCAGAGCATTTTTCAGCTGTGCGAATCAGGTATACTTTTTTGATTAAAAATGCCTAGACAGTCTGTAGATTTTCTGTTTGCAGAATCTTCTGACCTGTAAATGAAAGCATTGTGTGGGAAGGGTTAATTGTATAGCAAACCTTATGTTCAAATTTTTCTCTTATATGAAATATATGTCATGCTAGCAAATATTCTATTGTCAGTTCAAATAGAACACAAACTAAAATGAGATAATTGGTGAGGTGCCCATAAAGTCAGCTTGAATATTTTATCACGAGTATATGTGAGATAATATTTGTTTTAAAAAGATTCTATGGCACTGTAAACTCAGTCTCATTAGAGACTGCATTTAAAAGGCTTATAAAGTTACTCATTAATGTTATCTTGTTGTATCTCCACAGCTTTTTCATTAAAGAAAATTCAGCAGAAAGCATTTTCTCCTGATAGCAGGAACCAATTTGCAATAAATGTTCTGGAAACCACTAGGGAAGCCATTACTGAAGTCTAATAAAAACAGACAAGCGTAACTTGTTCTATATTTTTGTTTCAATCACATACAGATGAGACCCCGCTCTCCACACCAACTGCAAGAGACAGCCTTGACAAACTTTCTCTAACTGGGCATGGGCAACCACTACCTCCAGGTTTTCCATCTCCTTTTCTATTCCCTGATGGATTGTCCTCCATAGAGACCCTTCTGACTAACATCCAGGTAGGCCTTTCTGTAGATCAGCTTAAAGGAGTGGAGAGGAGCCAGTTGTTCAGATTTGTCTAAATTAATACAACCATTTTAGCTTAATCAGTTCATAAGATTATTTGGATAAACTAATTTGCTGAAACTTTCGAGTAATTTGGGATTTAAAGAAACCGCAACAAATGAATGAATTTAGAAGCTGTCAGTTACAGTACATAAAAAATTAGATTGTGTATTAGACCACAGCAGAGAATTTGATGAAAATGGCATTGGGGTGTTTAATAACATTGGTCTTAAATGCTCTTTTTATTACAGGCTAATGAAATGTATCTTACTATTTAGGTATATCTCATTTACTAAACAGAGAAACATTTCTTTAATAAATAGTTATTTCAAATTGCTGCAGTGCCAAGGTGGAAATGATATTTAAAGCTATTTGAAATGTGTCTCTCATAAAAGCATTCACAAAAACATTCACAAAGAAGCACTTCTTTTATAAGTAAGCTCATTTCACTTAAAGTAATGTCTTCAAAGAATAGACTTCAAAGGGTATTACCAAATTTTCTGCAGATTTCCTATTCAGTAGTCAGAATGTCTATTGTGTGCATAGTACAGCCTGATTCAAATATTGTCCAAGGTATACATTTGCCTAGATGCTAGTGTTTAATATTAGAATGAAGATTTTTTTTCCCCACAAATTCAGTGATCATATGTTCTCCAGATGCAATTTTTGCAGCGGTATGTTGCATGAAGAAGCAAAATGTTAGTGCAAGAAATAATGCAGCCATACTGTATTCATTACATACAACCTTTGTTTGTGCAGCTTCTAACTCCCAATATACTTTTTTTCCTGCAAATGTATCGAGTCAATTCAGTTATATTCAGAAAGCACTATGCAACATAGGGCCAAAGCCTCTTTGCTTTGTTTTCCTAAGCAAATTCTTTCAACTTTATGGCCCTTTGTATTTGTTTTATGAAAAGTATACAGGATCCCTTTATTAGTGATGTTTTGAGTTCTAACAATGAAAAAAGATAAAAAGCAGTTGTTATTTAGAAATAAAGTATTATATCTGCCTGATACAAAAGAACATAATTGTAAATGGCTTTTGTTTTGTTTTGTTTTATTTGTGTGGTTTTTGTTTTAGTTGTTGTAACTTTTGGATCTTATACAAATTATAAAATGTGGCAATTCTGCAACATTTAGCATTCTTCTAGCAGACCAGTTGAAATCTATAAAGAATATTTTTTTCAAAGGTACAAAAAAGTTAATAAAATATCTAATGTTTTTGCTTTGCATGCATGTACAGTAAAGTTCCTAGTAATTTTTTTGACAAATGTGTGCAGTCAATGTCTCTAGACAGCAACCTAATGAGCAAAGCATTCAGCATCAACAGGTTAGCTAATCTCGTGATTGAATATGAGAGTGCTGCACGACTTCAGGATAAATGACTGGGATTAATTTGCTAAGAATGCATTCAATGTTGTTTTACAGAAAACACGAACATGAAATTCGGTCATTGCTTTCATTGCTTTTTTTTAAATTATTTTTTAAAACTAATCTTATGTGCTGAAGAGAGAAAATGAGAGCCAAGATCATTAAGAAACCAGTGACTTCTTTTTGCTTTTTCTCATTGTGTTTTTCGACTTACTGTTCCTTACTTTGATTTTCCACATCATGACAAATCACCCATCGGGGTAAACAGATTGCATGTAAAACTCTTTGGATTTTTTCAGTATGTCTCTGTGTCTCACTGTATCTCTGGGAGTCCTTTCACATACCATCAAGGCATGTTTGTTCGGTTTTTTTTGTTTGTTTTTTTTTCCCCATACATTTAAATCTCTATCAGGACTATATAAAAAAGTACTTCACTATATGCACCTATACGTATATATATTTAGCTAGCTTGATTTTCCTACCTTGATAGAAAATGATAAGTATTCTCTTTAAAACAGTAGAGGCTATTATAATAGCCTGTGCACAGTGGCAGTTTCTCTTATCAATGACACTTAAACAGCGTTTTCCATATTCTGTGGTTACTGTAATGAAAGGACTACCGCAGATACATAAGTGAACTATGGCCCAACAGTTCCATAACTGAAGTACAGATACAAGTTCAAACTTCTTAACAGGATTTGTGAAACGGGGAAATTTTGTACTGTGGTCACTGCTCACAATATGGTTTATGACTTTATTAGGAAATACATAAGTACCACCTGAAATCCATGATGCTTCAATACATGGGACAGAACTCTTGTCATTGGGTCAATTTTCCTTTATTCTCCTTTAGTCCAGGCACATCTTGCATCCTTTTCAGTACAGAGGTATAAATTTCAAAGAAGAGTGGAGCATCAAACTTCCTCACCATTCTCTTTTTTCAGCTACACTAAGGATAGGTTACTAGCAACCAAGCAGATTTAACTTTCTAGAAAAGATCATTTTGCCTACAGTTTGTTCCCTGCCTCCAATGTTAAGGTTCTTTTAAATAAGAAAACAGCAAAAATCTAGCCAAGGTCTAGATGAATGATTTTGTTGTTCTCTTTTTCCAAGCATCACATATGACCAAAATGCAGACATATCACAGGACAAATGTAAGTTTGCCTGTGAAATGCAAATGAAATGTACCTTCATTAGGTCATAGAATTGGGGTACATACGTGACCTGCCACATGCTGTGGTGGAGAATGTCTATATTTTACAAATATGAAGGTCATATTACTACATAAGCAAGCAACCTCAGGCTACACAAACATGTGAGGGTGGCATGGTGTTATGATCTACTGTACTGACTCAGTTGTGTGCATAATATAGAAACTGGGTGCCTTCAGAAGAAATTATGTAGAGTCTGTCCTGCTTTAAAATAGAACGAAGTCAAGGTATGGGCAATAGAAACTCTAATATTGAACATTGTCAGAGTGAGGAGGAGACATGGGGACAGTGCTTTTGAGTTAAGTAGAAAATTAGTGAACACTTGATATTTGAAAATTGTGTGCAAGAAGTTGTGCAGATGTTGATGAATTTCAGCAACGCCTGTTAATTTAACTTGCGTAACTCTGGTTACTTCCTTTAAAACTGTCTACTAAACACTAATCAAGTCTTCCATGGGTATCAAATCTAAATGAATAAATCTTAATCCATTGCTGTCCAACCTTTTGGCTTGCCTGGGCCTCACTGTGAAGAGGAATTGTCTTGGGCCATGTGCATGTAGGTCACTCAAAAATGAATGCTTCCTACTTATTTTCATGGAAACTACAATAGATATAATGAGCACAGTACCTCTGTTTGATAGAACAAATTCCCAGCTACAAAACACTGCTTTTCAACATACTTACACCATTATCTATGCATTTCTACCAGTGATGAACATTAGCCTGCATGCCATGCTCATCAAAACCTGGATCAGTAGAGGTGACCCACTGTCACTTGTTGCCACTCCTGCAACACACCACCTAACACTTCTCTGTGCTCACATCCATTGTTTGGTCTCCACAAACATTCAGTGAGATTTTATCATCATGTGAGTGGATGCCATTTTTCCTATAAGGAAGAGTTCAATGATACCACTTTACTTCCATATCAGATGCCATTTTATGTCTGCCCCTCTACTGCTATCTGTCACACAGCAACAACATGTAACAGAATATTGGTGGGAAGGTTCAACCTTTACTGCCAATACCAACATCTGCCTCTGATGTTGTAGGCCGACATAATAACACAGGAAAAATTACTTTTGGAATAGCCTTCATGAAGCGTATAATGTAGTTAATGTATGTAAATAACAAAACATTTTGATTGTTAATATTTTTATTAAAACAGTAATTAAAAAGAGCAAAAACCCATAAAACTAGTGGGATATCTGACCAGTTTTTGTGAAACTAATGCATCAGTCTGGTTTGATGGCAGTGGTTCCAATTCTTAGTACTCAAGGTTCTCAAGGTGTCCATTAGAAATTTTTTATGAAATTTTACTCTCCTGTGCTTTGTTCCAGACAATAATTGTTCACAAATATACAAATTGTACAAAAAGAATGACAGGAATAAGGCATGACTGTGAAGTGAGGGATATTTTTCTCTTATAAAAGTCTAATAAAGAGACACGGTCAGATTTTTTTGTTGAATATCTCATTGCAAATCTATACATACCAATTAAAGAATGTATTGCTGAATGAAAATGGAGTTGCGAAAGTACCAAAAGATCAGTGATTTTTCTTGCAATCTTGAAACCTATTCTCAATTCCTTTACCATAACAGAAAGCAAGTTTACTTTTTTTTTGCTTTTCGCAAAACCGTGTTTAGCCATTATATCAAAATACATACAATTTTTTGCCATACCTTGAGCTGGCACTGCACCGTGCCCTCCTCCCTGTGCCCCTCAGACAGTGCTAATAGCTCACTTATAGATTGTTGTTGCCAGGAGATGGATGCATGCCCAGGCTGGGCAGGGCTGCTCAGTGGGACAGACCCACCACCATGATGACATGGGTCAGGGGGTGGCCAGAAGATGGGATGGGCAGGGCTTAGGTTCAAATAAATAAATAAATAAATAATAAAACCAACAACAGCAAAAACCAGATAAAACCAGTAACAACAAAAAGGACGTACAGAATGTGTGGTGCACAGTACATTTGCAACCACCTGCCCAGCTGATTCCCAAGCAGTGGCAGCCCCTGCAGCCAACTCCCCCAGTTTTGTTGTTCAGCATGGCATCACATCACAGAATGTGGATTATCCTTTTGGCCAGTTTAGGTCAGCTGACCTAGTCTTATTCCCTCCCTTGTGCCCCTTCCTGCTTCCACTTAGGAAGGCAGTACCTGAAGCTGAAAAGTCCTTGACTCTGTGTGTAAGCATTGCTCTGCAACAACTAAAATGTCAATGTGTTATCAACATCTCTAAATCCAAAACACAGCATCATACTTGCCACGCTCAAGAAAATTAACTCTATCCCAGCTGAAACCAGGACTTGAAAAATATTTATTGAAAAAATAAAAAACCTAAAAATAAAAAAGAAACACTAACAAAAAA